CAGATTGTGATATGTTCGTATATCTCCTTCGTGTTCCCTGAACCTTGCCCTGGATAAAGTAGACCCTCGCTGAATGGTTCGCCATTGGTTCTAGCTGGAGTCCATCCAGGTGCAGCAGCACAGCTCTCTAGCAGGCCCTGCGGGAAGCTCCCTCCCCTCCACACAGTAACCACTGAGGAGATGCAGTGCCAGCGTCTCCACCTCCCTGCGCCGTTAGCCACACAGCAAGGGCGAGGTTTGTCTTAAGACGCTTGTCACATCCTTGGCCCTCCGTTGATGGGATATTTGATAGCCATGCATATGCTAATATCTCAGGAACTTCCTATGGTAACTAAAATATTAACTAACAGAGAATTTTAAGGGCAAGATTTTTGCAGCATGGTCTCACGGAGAATGTTGCGGGGATGGAGGAGTTGTCCCTGCCCCTCCGTCCCTGGCATTGCGATTGGATTTTGCTCTTCACCCAGCTCGCTGCCCTCTGGCTGAGATGCTCTTTGTCTGAGAAGAGTTGCGTTTTTGCAGAGCTTTCTGGAGCGCTGGGTCTGAACTCTTTTATTTTGCCCTGTAATTATTGCTGCTAGATCAGTTAGCTGATTTTGTGGATCTGGTATTTGAAGTACTTCACTTTACACTCTGAAAGCAGAAATTATACAACGGCTGCCCCTAGGTCTTTGCCTCAATGTGAGAAAACGTGAGGTCGGCCTCAAGCACCAGGTTTAGCACCAGGGAAAAGACAGGTCTGTGACGTGGAGCCGCCCGGCCCCTCCTGCCACAGGCTGTTGATCTCTCCCGGGAGAGAGGGAGGCAGCAGAGGGGAGAAGCAATGTCAGCAGCTTTTCTGATTCTCTTGCTCTCATGCTCTAGATATTGTTCTTCTTTTAAGAAGAAAGATAGCGAACGATTGAAATAACCTTGCTTCTTAGGAGAAACAACTTCTATGCTTTTCTTTTCCCCCCGCAAAAAGAGGGTAGGAGAACAATAGGAAGAGATCTGAGCCAGTGGTGAAGTCCAGGCGGGGGGCACGCAGGCGTCTGTGCACCCTCAGTCACTCTGTGCTCCCGGTGGCCTGCCTGCAGCATGAGCATCAGCTTCCCTGCGGCTGGGAGGCAGCTTTGTGCTGGGATGGAGAGGTCTTGGCTTTCTCCGCCCCCCATCTTGGGGTTGTCCTAGTTTGAGTCTTTCTTCTGTTCACCCGAGAGACTGCAGGGCCTTTGTGCCGTGTCCCTGTCAGCAGCTGCTGCGGGCCAGATGCCCAGAGCACATGTCAGGGAAGGTCCAGCCAGTTCCTGGCTGCTTGCTGTCTCCGGGCATTTCAGGGACCTCAGAGCCACTGCTTCCTCCTCCCAGGCTGCTCACTGTCAATGGCATTTCAGGGACCTCAGTGCTGCTGCCCTTTCCCCCTGGGCTGCTCTGTCCCCCCGGCTGCCCCTGCCTCAGGTGTTTCAGGGACCTCAATGCTGCTGCCCCTTCCCAGGTGCCTTTCCTCAGTCAGCAGCACCCCCAGAAGGGAGAGAGATGGTCCAGGGCTGTGTCCCGGTCCCCGCTGTGTGTGAGAGGCTTCTCCTGCCCATGGAGAGCATTGCGTCCTGTGAGCAGCCTTTACTTACCCTGGACTCTCCCTCAGCCTGCGGTGCAGCCACCGAAACAGCACTGAGGCCCGCGGACTGTAACAGTTTTCTCTGCACTGTTGGGATGACTAGTTTGTCCCCATGCAACAGACTTGGTAACTTCACGCCCTTCCCTGAGGCCCCCAAACCGTGCTGACTCCTGAGGCTCATGAAGGCCAGCTCACCCAGCATCTGGGCTTGACACCAGCTATGAGATCGCTCCCTGCTCAGTGCAGATCATTGGCACATCTCTTCTGTCCCCAGGCCACACAAAAGCACCGGTTCCCTCCCCTTGCCCTTCTGTGTCTTCCCTTTAAAGAAAGTGGCATGCTTCAGATTCCACTTTCAGTGTTCTTCAGCACCATCGAAAGATCAGTATAATCAGAGGAGTTGGGTCAGGAGGTAGAAACAGTCCCGTGCAGAGGCAACTGGATTCTTCCCTGGCTTGCAGCATGAAGTGAGCCCACCAGCTCCTGGAGCAGGGCTTGGCTCAGCAAGGCTATCAAGGACCTGCTGTGAAAGGGGGTCTCAGTGTTCGGGGCCTTGATGGAATTTGGGAGGACTATTCAGGCCTGCCTGTACCAGCGCAAGTCTGGCCACTGTGTGGTGCAGCCCCTGGTCCCCAGCAGTGTCACCTTCGTTCTCCTGGGCCTCCTTAGGCCCCTCACCTGAGGCCCCTCTGCTGGCTTGGCTTTGCCTCTCACTGCAAGCCTGGTGGTAGGTGGCAGGATTTACCGTTTCCTCTTCAGAATAAAGAACATGCTTTCTGATCAGTGGTGAATAAAGATATAATTTTAAAAATAAAAAGAATAAGGAGCAATTCTAAAATTATGCATTTTATTAACAATTGTG